CAAAACTCCTTCAACCTATTTATGAAGAGGAGGAATGGTATCTAAACACATTGGGCAAGAATACAAATGGTTAATTTGTTCAACCATATCCATTCCAGAAGTGTCATCATTCTGACTTTCTTGACTATACTTTCCCATGTTTATTGTGCTAATTTACAACACTCTTTGATAAAACCCTGAGTTTGGTTGGCTGGAGGAAATTTTATGACACAATTTGATCTTTCTGCATCCGATTTCAAAGACATGTTTAATGGTTATTTTGTCTTTTAGAAAATAGCTTAAAATAACCAACTAACATCTTGTAGGCTATGTATACATTTTATCAGGCAACCATTATTTCACAGTGATGGAAGACATCCTCCATCATCCATATTCTAGGATATTAAAGTGAACAGTGGGGTTACTGTTAAATGAGGTAAGAGAAGTTCCATTCTGGTAAGTGACACATGAAAAGAATATTCTGAAAGGTATCCAGTGACAAAAAGGATAAAGGCCTTAAGGATAAGGACAAAACCAGAAAATTGAAAGGATGCATTTTGATGAGATCTAAGATCTTTATTCATAAAGAATAAAGCCCAGTAATAAAGGCCTTTGGACCTATAAGTAAATAACAGTAGTAAAGCAAAATTTATGGATTCTATAAAAATGCTGTATTTCTTTAATATACAGTATATAACTATTGAATCCAGCAAATATCAGAGTGGGTTACAAGCAAAGCAACTAATGAAATACTAGCAATTCTTTTTCTGACACTTCCTTAGTTTGTTTTTTAGTGGCAGGCAGTCATTTAATCATACCAATAGCAATTGTTTAGTTGTGTTCTTTTTTTATTGAGTTGAAGATTACATATTTTAAAGATGCTGAGATTGAGAAACATGACCTCAAATAGACCCAAATATTTGCACAATTCACTTCTTTGAATAAGAAACAATATGGTTTCTTATTCCACCTGAAACTAAGTGATGAGGTTCAGAGGTTATCATATTAAATGTTCCCCAGGCTCAATAAGAAACAAGTCTTTACATTGTAACATTAAATTTAAAATTAATTAAATTAAATCATTATATTTGAACAACCTCATACTTGCAAGCATTTACTTTCTCTAGCTTGAGTTCATTTGAGATTTATCATATGTTTATTATGCTTTTTATAAAACCATGGGTAATTCTGAGTCCACTCTTATGGCTTATTAGTCTTTCATTTCTAGAAACATTTCTTTGCTTAGGCCACAGTTCCTAAGGACAAATGGCAATCAACAAAAAGGGAATCCCAAAAAATTCTATGATTTACAGCTGTTAAAGCCCCCTCGTAAGAAACAAAGAAAATGGAAGTAGCAGGTTTTCTAGTTGACTGCCAGCAGTTAATCCAAGTAAATCTTTTAGAGATGTATGACTATTTTGTAATGCAGATTAAACAAAGGAAATTACAGTAAACTCAAAAGCAAGAACAGCTTGGCACACCTTAAGCAAAACATCACGTACCAAGTGAGCTAGATTCAGTCCTGGCAAATTCACATCAGGTCCCCCCCATTTCTCAATATGGACATTGTGCAATGAAGCACATAGGCAAGGGGCAAGCAGCCAGGAATTACCTCCAAAGTTTACATTAGAGTACTCATGTTTAGTTTATTTAGCCTCCTAAAACCAAGACGTGAGTGTCCTATGTGCCTGAAAACCCTTTAGAAGGAGTGTAGCAAAAGTTTTGTATACATCAATAGATTTTAGTTTACAGATAAGGAGGACAATGGTCTAATATGTGACATTGCTAACAAAGGAGAGGAGGTATAATGAGACATTTCAGAAAGTGCCTACGTGATGGAAGGATGCATCTCCCTTGGGGTCATTTGAGTGACTCTAAAAATCTCAGCCTGTCTGATTCTGTGACTGCTGCTGTTCTCCTTACATCAGTCACGCCATATATAAAATAGCTAGACTCAAATGTGGGAAAAGAAGCTTGGTAAATTCTTCAGTCATAAACATAATATGCAATATAATTACCTAAGTAAAAGACTTGAAAACTGATATTCAAGTCTTCAACATTATAAAAATTATTGTCTAGGAGAACTAAAAATACACTGTCCTGGCAAATTGAAGTCCTAATTGTATAACATAAAATGTTTAATAGGAACATAATATTTTAAATTCACTAATCTCAGTTGTATATAAAGTCATATTAAAACATAGAATTACAAACCCTTCATATTAGCAGACAGATAAATATGTTGGGAATATTATTTGGTCCAGTGTTTTGTCTAATTAAGAGGCCATGCTATATAATCACAAAGTTGCAAGTCATAAATACCAATTATTATTCGTTAATACAATGATCATATAGATTAATGCTTACTAGAAATACCAACAATCATATAACATGAGGACGCACTCAATCTCTGCCTGCTTTTAGAGACCTTGGTTATATTAAAAGCAGACCCATCTGCCCAATGAATACAATAACTTATTATTATTTGATCTACACCTATGGTAATAGATGACTAAGACTATGGATAGGATTCAGAAATGAGCATAATGAATGTTAATTCAAATTAGAGATTGGAAACTTTGGCAATGTAGAAACTACATCAGAAAAACATCATGAAGCTGTAGGGCTAGCAGCAGTAACTGATATCAGTGATTGAATAGAACTGAAAATATTTGTTTATCATTTTAATAAAATATATATGCCAAACCACACATATTGATGTGCTGTATGAGGGAGTGGTTGCTGAGGGTGTTTGTTTTTTGCATCTTCACAATTGTTTTTAAAAGTTTCTGAATCTCTCTCCTGAATAGCAGGGAATAAATTCCTCGTATTCTAAGTACTTAAACATTTCCAGCTTGTTTACTGAAAGAAAGAAAAAACCCTGAATATTTTCACGTAGGATCTCTTGGTGTTTATCAATATCAAGAATCATCTTTTGGGAAGCAATTCTGAAAAGCTTTTCAAAACCAATCTTTCCTCTGTTGTCTCCTGTTTTTGCAATGCTGTACTTTTAAAACTACGTCTGTCAGGAAGGAGACAGGAAATTCGAGTCACACTTACAACAGCTGTGCCATGCCCACTATCATTCTGAAATGACGTAGTTTGGGCTTCAATGGCACGGAGCCAGGAACTTAGCAATAGCAGAGGTCAGGAAGATAGGTCACTGTTTTTACAGCCCTCACACTTGGAATCCTGCAGGATCTACTTGCTGCCTTCCTTTCTCTTCTGTTTTTCTGCTCTTTACTATGGGGAGCTAGAAACATCCTGTTTTCAAAACATTTGATTGTTTTGCAATTAGCAAATTTCTATGCAGAAGTCTTTGACGGAAGGAAGACAGATTATTCAGATACTTCACAGATGTGGGAAATTTGACAATAACTCAGCATATTTCAAAAGGCTTCTTAGGTTCTGAAAAGTTCAGTTTGCTCTATTTTCAGCTGTAAGCATTCAATTTTCAAATGGTTTTTCAAAAATTGCAACACAGAATAAATATGACATAGTAGAGACAAAATAAGAAGGGCAATGTAAACTCATTTCATATACAGTATATATGTAGGATATAATTTTACTTCTAAGAGAAGTAAAATTGGGACAATGCAATTTTATTTATGTGGTTTATTTAGAAAAAATCTAGTTTTAATTTTATTTGTACTCAAAAATTGATATAGTATTTGCCTGAATAGCTTTTTTCCTATGGAGAACAGTTGTATCATCTTCATCTCATTTAAGTTGATTATTCTTTACTTAATAATAGAAACAAACTACAAAGTATCTGCATAAGGCTCCAGCCTAGTGACCATCCTATAATGACCATTGTAAATGACTTCTAGACTATACTTATAAATATATATGAATGCACACTTTGAATGAGACTGATAAAAGAGAGTTAACAATAGAGTTCTAAGTAAATTGGGAGTTGAAAGCCTCTGAAGAAAGTTATACATGTTATTCACTAATCAGACCAGAGTGTAAAGTCTTTGCTTTAACACTGGGCAAAAATTTATTAAGTCCTTCAGTCAGACACAAGCCATGTTTTCTCTCAAAAATGCCTAAGATTATGGTTGAGGTGATATCCATGCCATCAGGGAATACATTGGCCTTCTGTTAACCAAAGGTTTGGCTAGCCAACTAAGGAGTGGTTTCAACTTTAAATAATATCCAACTCTTAGATATTAAAAGAGGTAAGTGTATTTGTCTTTAGAAAAAAAATAAACACTTTAGAATGCAAACGCATAAATACTAAATTATAATAAGAATCAAATATTTTAGATATCTCAAGTCTAAAAATCAACTTCCCATTATACCTTCTTACAGAGTTTAGAAATATCTCCACTGATGAAGCAGTATTTTATATGTATTGCTACTTTTAAGTTTCTTGTTTGGCATTTATGAGCTTAAGCATATTATTGTCAAGCTTAACTGGTTAGCTGTTCCAAACATATACAAGATACATGCAGGTAACATTACCATATGCAAAAATTTATATAAAATATATAACTAAAATTAAAACAAGCTCCACATATACAATCCATGGTAACTAAAGATTGTAGGTTGAAATGTGCACCTTATAAGCAATTTAATTTATTGAAGGGAAAAAAAAAACTAGCAAAAGTTTCATAAGGATAGTTGTACTTTTTATCTATATCATTCTTTTCAGTTGATTTGCTGATGATTGCTACTGCTGGTATACATTGTAGAAATAATATTAGAATATTTCTAGAATTACTTTTGGCATTACAGTTATGGTATATGCTATAATTTGTTTTCCAGCTTTCTAAATTGCTGTTTTTATTAATAATAGCAATGTTATATTTAATTTTATAACATTAAAAGTAGCAATACTTGATTAACTTCAATAGCATTCTGGTAAGGATTTTGAAAATTTGGACTCCTTTGTTTATATTGCTTTAATTTTTTACAATAGGTCAGCAATCTGACCTATCAAGGGAAGGCAGAAAAATTCATAACTTTTCACTTTGTTCTTAAAATACATTTGTTTGCATGTAATTTTTCTCTCTTACCTTATTGGATGCCATCTCACTAACAGATCGATAGGTCTGAATAGTTTCAAGTTGGTCTAAACACCAGTCCAATTCCTCCAAAGTTTCCATTGCTAATTTTTGGTAAGATTCTTCTGCAAATAAACACACAGACATGTAGTTAGGCTTGAGTGACGGCAGGCTTTCCATGGTGGAATTGCTGATCCGACTTGGTCCAACACTGCTGTAGGGACTGCAGTGCTCTTTCATCATAAGTTCTTCAGGCTGCTGTTCCACTCTCTAGTAGAACAAATCAATGCACGTCCAAGCTTTTGAATGGTCGTTGTGGTTTTGTGTATGTGTGTGTGTGGGGAGGAGTGTTCCTTGCTTTCTTTTTTGTCCTTCCTTGCAGGCTTTGAAGAATCAGTTTCTGTAATATATCAACAAACTTCCTCTACGAAGTGGTGTAGGAGGAGGGATACTCTCTGACAGTCTCATCTGCATATGTGTGCACTCACAGAAGAGCAGAGGAAAAGCAAAAAAAAATTTCCCTCCACTTAAACATTACTCATCTCACCATTTCTACTATTAAAGTGATGACATTTTTATAAGACATTTAAAATATCATCAAGGGAGATTAGGCCATCAGTGTTACTCGTCTTTTTTCCCTTGTTAGAAAACAGATTCAGATTTTTCTGAAAAAAGAAATGCAGAAATAATTCAAAATAAACGTGTTCAAGTTTTTAAACTTGTTCAAATTTGATTATCTGTTTCAGAGTATTTTCGTAGGTGCTACAACCCCCCATCCATTAATTAAGGTTTAGTTCATTACATTTTTGAAGTATCTAACAATTAGGAAACAAATAGAAAGTATGGCTTTTCTTAAATTATTAAATTTCCATTTTGTTCATGCCGAAGTCACAAAGAAATTTTAGACTGAATTTCTAGAAGGGATTTCCAAAACATTTACTCTTTCTGTCAGTTGTTCTTCCCTTTTGAAACAGAATTTTTCAAAAGATATTCTAAAGTTGTAGTCTTAGGAGCCTTGGGAAAGCTACCAAAGCTGGGCTATAAAATCCCAAACTTCTAGACCCCATTTGCTACCATCTAGTGGACATTCAGACTTTTGCAACCCAGATCCAATAGATTTAAAGTAATGGCAAAGATGACAAATTTCAAAGATTTTTTTTTCTTGCTATCACTATTTCAGTTACGATAGCTGAGCCCTACCATGCTGTTTCCACTATGCACATATAAAAAAACCGGTAAAAACTTATGTCTAGTAAGAGACTGCCCTACAGAATGGTGCCAAAGCTGGAAAAAACACCCTTTTTTATTAATACCAAATGAACATCCACAAATATGGTACAACCAGGAGAATGCCTGTTGATAAGGACAGCAGTAAGGTAGACTTATTGTACATATGTCCGGATTTTAGATTTTCTGTCTAGATTTTAGATTTTCTGTCTAGAGTGTAAGGCCAGAATATTCCTTAGTCTTCTTTAAGATCTGGAACTTCATAATACCCCAGGACCAGCAATCCTAACAATGCTCATAATACATTCTAGGCACGCATAGGTTTGCTCATCTTCAATTATGTTAATAGCTATTGGTGTCTTCAGGAGGGTTGTAAGTACATTTGGCTGAAATCATATGATTGTGATCACTGTTTTCAGCAGGTTTGGTTGGGAATATTTGCAACTCTTGGCAGTCTTTAATATGTTTTTTTGAATAAGTTTATTTTGTACATTTGCTGGATTTATAACTTGCTTTTCATCCAAGAGCAGAAGGTAATTTATATGGCGCATTTGTTATGTCCCCAGGAACCTTGTGAGGTAGGTTAGGCTGAGAGAGAATGATTGGCCCTAAATAACTCAAGGAGTTTCATAGATAAGAATGGACTTGAACCCGGGCCTCCCCATTCTTGGTCCAGCTTCGTCATCAGCTCCCTTGTAATAAAAAAATTGATACTAGCCAATGTACTCTCATCTTTTCTACAGTTTCTTTTCAATCTGATAGCTAATCAACTACATGCAGGCTAAAAGCCTAAAAAGGACTACAGAGATGCTCCTGGTCTGAGGTAAATTACTGTTCACTCTTACTGCAATCACAAAGTATGCATTCTGGGGAAGTAAAGTTAGAGTTCAGTAGTGTTTCCTGAAAATATTAGATATCTTAGTCTGGAAAAGAGGATGTTCTTTTAAACTTGAGCTATTTCACTTAAACATTCCTTATAAATTGAGCAAGAAGAAATTTGGCAAATCTGAGAAACCACCTCTTACAAAACCAGGGGTTATATGACATGCCTCTCCAAGATTTTTTTTTTAATAGTAGCGGTTTCACACTCAACAGAGATGTATTATCAAAAATCTACTATAGCAAGGATTTAGCTCCTGTTCCAATTTTATGATCCCAACCCTATGAAAGCATACTTTTTTTAACCTTTTACTGAAGCCATATTGACCACACTTGGGTCAAATCAATTTCAAACCAATAATTATGTGAATCTTTCATCAACAATGAAAGAAAAAGTTTTAACTTGACCTCTAGCTATTTGATACATGAATGTTTTTGCTGTGCTGAGCTCTTGATGGTTCTGAGATTGTTGGCAGCAGTTTTAGCATATCATAATTAAAGGGGGAATCTCACTTAAACAGCATGGAGGCTCCCATCTTATTATGAGAAAGCATGGCATTCCTCATCCATTCCCCTTTACTGGTTGAAGTAAAACTAAGTAAGTTGAAAGCTTAGGGTGGAGTAAAATTCAATCATCAAAAAAGGGTTGGTTTCTCATTATGTCTGAATAAGGAGTTTCAATGATCAAACTCTGGGTGTAAAGCAATAGTTTATATAGAACTTACTGAAACAAGTGAAATGAAACCACCTTTTATTTAATATAATTTTGAAAAAAGATAGAACACCTGACACCCACCCACACAAATGAGCTTAAGGTTCCTGTTCCTGTAATGATCACAATGTGCCATCAAGTCAGCATAAACTCTTAGCAACCAACATTTCTCCAGGGTGATTTGTTCTTAGCCTGGTCCCTCAGGTTTTCTAATGGTATACCCATTACCACTGTAATTGAATCTATCCACTTTGCTGCTGTTGTCTCCTTTTTTTCTCTCCTTCCACTATTTCTACCATAGCACTGCAGATTTCTTACGGAAAAGTTCTTTTCTTAAGAAAAAAACATTGCAGTATGTGATGCTGCGCGTTTGACACCCGTGGTGTACACAAACAGGGATGGTGCTTTAAGCAGTTGCTAATGTTCCTTTTTTATATACATGTTCATCAGATGCTGTTGTGCAATTATTTCTTTACTTGTTTAAATTTAATTATATATTTATTGTTAGTACTGTCACTCTTTTTTCTTTCTACAAATCAAGGAAAATATTTTTTTTTAAAAAAATCTTCAAGATAATATAACCATTAAAATAACACTTCATTTGGGAGCCCAAATGCCTTTAGCCAGCTAGCTAATTTTTGGATACATTTCATTTATTTTTATCCCACTTTTATTATTTTTTATAAATAACTAATGGCATGCACACACAATACTTCCTTCACTTGGAGGTTTATCTGTGACTGAGATGACTCTACAGACTCTTGGGGTAGCTTATGTGCATCAGAGGCTTTATGCAGCTATTTTGCCTCTTGTTGATGGTTGATACCAGCATCCTAGGTATCAACCAAGTATCTTCTTAAAATGTACGATGTTCTGAGTAGCACAGTTTTTTTGTAGTTCCGCTGGTGTTATTGCAGGAAGCTGCAATTTCTTGATGTATTTTGTATAATTCTTGGACATGGTACCAGTTCCCCTATGACAATGGGTATCACTGTTACAAGTTTCGTCTATAATCACGTAGTTTCAATAGCGAGTGTTAGGATATGGTTTGAGCCTAACAAGTTGTCCAGGCAATATATGTGTTCTGTGACTTTAATATGAATATGTATTGTGTGACTTTAAAGTTTTCCTGCTGATTCATTGTAATGCTGAGTCATGTTGTAATTAGTTGTGAACGTATTTAAGAAAGGTACTGTAACGTATTCAGTTGATGATAAGCTACCATTGTGTGTGGAGTTGCAACCATTGTGCTATCATCAGTTGGATGGATCTGCTACCATCGTGGTTTGTTACCAGAGTGAGTTTGTTATTCTAACCAACTACTGTTTGTGTGGTAAGAAGATTCTTATATCACTGGACTGATTTAACTGGCAAAGACTTGGATTGATTTAAAGACTATGAGATTGTTTTTTCACTATAAAGTAAACTTTTGATAAACCAGTTTGCACATCTCTTATTCATTGCTCTCAGCAACGTTTCTCTGTGCTCTACACTCTGCTGGTTGGTAACACAACAACAATATCCTTAACAGCGAGGTTGCGATATTCTGTGATTTTTTCCAGTTCTTTTATTTTTTAATTTATCTATTATTAGTATTATTAGTATTAGTATTATTAATATTAGTATTCGTAGCACAGTCAGCCAGATGTTCAGACTGGATTTGGCATTTTTGCCTAGTTATTGAGTACTTACAAAGGATCTGGGATAGGCAGATCTGAATGTTTGATTGTGTTAGATATTGTTGCAGGATGGAAACTGTTCCAAGTAAAGCCGCTTTTTGCAATTGACTACATTGCAAAATTGATGGCGAATTTGACAATGCCAATGGTGTTCAAGTGGTGCTCCAGTTGTTTTGGGATTGGACCCAAGGTACTTATTACTATTGGTACTACCCTTGCTTGCCTGTGCCACAGTCGTTCTATTTCTGTTTGTAGGTCTTTGTATCCAGTTCTTTTACTTCTCTTCTGCTGTCTCCAGGCACTGCCACATCCACTACCCACACTTTTTTGTCTTTCTTATTGACAGCAACATTATCCTGGGACATGTATATTCGGCTTCATTCTACCTTACAGTTTTTGTCTTACAATCTTTTAAAGTCTGTAATTACTATGCTTAAAGCACCTGCATGTGGATTGTTCCATATGCTGTATTTTTTATGTCATGAAAATTAAAAACTGAAATAAGGGTATTAATTGATTTGACTGATTCTCCAGTGGGAAGAAGTTATTTGTGTGGCCCCTTCTTTAGCTATGTATAAATATGAGAAAAGGCTAAATGAGTATTTCCTATCATTACTCTTTAACTACG